CCAAACTGGGTAGGGTTGAGCCTCACATTATCTATAACACTCTCAGCAATCCTCTGTCGATTTATCATTCTAGTTTGACGAGATGTCGATCTGGAGATATCAAAATCATCCAAGTTTCCACCAGCACCTTTAATTACAGCAGACACAATCATAGTTGTTTTATTATCAGACAATTTTAGCCTGTCTGCTGCAGAAGTGATTTCCTCGCATTGCATAATTCTTTTGGGGAGGTGAAGAATAACAAATTCTGATCGTCTATTCATTGGAGGTTCATAATTCAAGTCCCACCCTAAACCAATATCTATTTCAGCAACAGCAATATTTTCATCAATATTCTGTTCTTCGTCATTAACTTCCATGTCCTCATCACCCTGATCATCATGTCTACCTTCTTTTTCTACTCTTTCTTTTTCTTCATTTCTAAGTATGATTTTCCGATTATATCTGACTTTTTTCATTTTTGCTTTAATCTCAAAGATTTTGTCATGCCTGTCCATGGTCGCCTTTCTGTCTTTTTTTTGATCTAAATAGAATGCAACATCATCATCTTTCTTTTGGGCAGTCAGTAGCCTGGATTTCATGATTTATTGTATAGCATCAGGTGATCCAATATCAAAAAGGCTATCCAACTTGGCCAAGAAATTAACACGTTTTCCGCCAGCATCACTTTCGCGGTTCTTGTTCTTCAACAAGCGGTTCCACTCATTCCAGAGACACATAAAATCTAACATCGCGTCGAAAAAAAAAGAAAAAATTTCAAAACCTGTCTGCAATTGGGTAGTTTGGAACCAGTTATTAATGGTGATGGGTGTCCAATTAACCAAAACTTAGTAGAGGCACGAGTAACAGGCCTTGTTGTTGACGATGATGACAACGGTGAAGGCTGGTCGGTTGTGTCTGACAAACAACTGGAACTGGTTGGCAAAGACTTGAGTTCAGTTTCTACAACTTTACCACTTCTTGTCAACATTTCAGTTTTAATTTATTTAACTAAAACAGGAAACAGCAAAATAATTATATCAGTCAATATTACATATTAAATTGTGTCAATATCATAATATTAATTTCCTTGTTTATGAAATTTGTAATCAATGCAAAAATGTGTTACTGTTTTAACCCATTCGTGCCTAGCGTCCCCAAAAATGGGACGCTCTATAAATTGTAAAATGTAACAAAAAACTCAGGCACTAATGGGTTAAACTGGAAATTGGAGCTTATCTTTAGGGACTTTGAGGGGGCTTTAGAATAGTCATTAAAATTTAGTAAAACTTTTTTTTACACTGTACACAAACACTAGAATGGAAAAAAATTCAATTTGGGTGGTTTTGAAAATTTTTTGCATAGTGGACACCCACTATTTTATATATTTACATATAAATATATATAAATATATATATATATATATATATATATATATATATATATATATATATATATATATATATATATATATATATATATATATATATATATGTAGCAACACTCCATTGCAGGTCAGGTTATAAGATAGTCGATGTAGCAACACTCCATGCATGTTTTAAAAATATATTTTATTTAAACAAAAACAAAAACACCATTAATTAAAAAAATTTTCTAGTCATTTTTATTGCGGTTTTAAAAAAAAAAAAAATTTAATGTACTTTTGCATTAATTTAATTGCTTTGACATTTCGATGACAATAAAACGTAGCTTAATTGTCGAGGTATCAAAATTGTAGTCAAAAGAAACCTTTTTTACATTTAAAGTCTCTTTCGACTACGATATAATGGTATATATATATATATTTATGTACAAATATATATATATTTTATATTTTATATATATATATATATATATATATATATATATATATGTATATGTATATATATATATATCCAACATTAAATATTTCTCCAGTATCTTAGTGTTGCAATTATTTTCCAATTGCAACATTAAGATCAATGTAAATTAATACACTTTGCTATCTTAAAAAATAATGTTGTGCTAACTTTGATATTTCTTTGTTGGCAAGGTGGCAATTGTAACCAAATTGATATAAAAATAATGTCGGCTATCAATGTTGTGCCAATGCAGCTCACAACATTTTTCTAACAATTGTTCTAAAATTTACTTGTTTTAAAGTTAAATATGCTTTAAAGTCTATTTATTAATAAAGCTAAATATGCTTTAATAGTCTTTCAGTTGAAGTTTCTTTTAAGTTCCTTTCATGATCACAGACAACATGTTGGTTCGTTCTGCAAAAAATAATTATTAAAAAGCATTATATTATCTTATAATTATAGTTTCAAAATTGTTGCGTCACTGAACCCATCAATGGGATAATTAGCGTTTTATAGTCAAAATTGAAAATTCAAATTCAAATTTTGTTTTGGTTTTCAGTCAATTAAATTATGCATTTTCATATTGTGAAGTATTATCTAAAAATATTTTCGAAATATTGCTTTATTGTTTGCGTTTTCATAGTGCATTCTTAAGAAATGGAATTAGAAGTGAGAAAAAAATGTTATGCAAAATTTCAAGCTTACCATGTGTACCAAACTTACAATGTGTCTTGAAGGCCTGATAAAAAGAAATGTCCAGAGAAAGATCTAAGAGATATCAAGAAAATTTGAGAGCCGATTTGAATATAAAAGCAGCTTACTTTGCTAAAGCAAAACTAAGAGTTCTAAAAAGTTGCTCTCTAAAAAACTTATAAATTAATCTAAAAAGACTGAACTCATCTTTTAAAAACGTTCAACAAAGAGGAAATGCTTTAAAAAAGTTTTTGAAGCACTACCATATGCAAAGGGAAAAAAAGCAGCAGTTCTTTTTATTCTTTCAAATAGTTCAGCTCATAAAAACAATCTGGGCCTACCTCCAGAATGTTCAAAGCTATATGGACCTTCTGAAAGTGATGTTTTATCAGTTGCAAACTTTTATAATGAAGATGAAATTTCCAAAAAATCGCCCAACAAAAAAGATTTCATACAGATTTAATTGCCCAACTGAAAAAAGTTGTTCAAAGAAAGACATTACATCAAAATTGGACTGGAGTAAATTTTATGAGCTGCGCCCACACAATGTGATATCTGTAACAAAATTTTTGCCTAATGTTTGTGTTTGTAGTTTGCATGATAGTATGCAATTTGTCTTAGATACATTAATTAAATCAATTCAAGTGTCTTCAATCAAAGTTGGATTTGAAATGATAAGAAAATTTGTTTGTGAATCTTGCACATATGATTGCGCATTTAACAAATTTGATGCATGCAAAGGTATAAAGCAGTTTCAAAAACACTTGCAAACAGTTGATATATTTGACTTCAAAGTATCTGAAATAAGTGGAGAAAACCTGAAGCTAAACATATGCAAACATTGAAAACATTTCCTAGAAGTCTACTTTAACAGAACTTATTCAGCACCTATCAGTGATGTGTGATATGTTTGTTAAACACGCATTTGTCAAAAAAAAAAAAAAGTTAACAATTTTCAATAAATTGAAGGAAGTTTCAATCAATACTGATTCTGAAATTAAGGTAATCCAAGTTGACTGTGCTTAGAGCACTAAGTGTTTTTATCAAAATGATCCGCAAGCAGCTCATTGTTGTCAAAATCAAATTTCAATCATGAATCTTGCAATCTGGGAAAATGAGTTAAAAATATTTTTGCTATAGTTTTTGATTCAAGTGAAGTCTTCAGTTATACCGTTTATTGACAAAGTCCTTCACTTTATTCCTAATTGTGTAAAAAAAGTGCACATGTTCAGCAACAATGCATTTATCAACAAAGGGTTATGGCTGCAATGATTGTGTTTGAAAAATGTTTAAAAACCACAAACCGCTGAAAAATGTTTAAAAAAGTGTTTAAAAAATGTTTAAAAACAACACAAAGTTAATGCATGGAAAAAAAGTGGTCGATTGAATAGGAACTACTATTAAACGTACCACAGTGCTAGAAGTCAAATCTAGTCAATGCAAGCTCAAATCAGCAGCAGACTTTAAGTCAGCATTAAAAAATTTGTAAATATCTGTAATTCATATGTCAGAAAGCGATACAATACAGCAAAAAAAAATTAATTTGAATTCAGTTTAATTTTAAGTCATTCAAGAAAAATCAAAGGTATATTAAAATCACATTATATTTATGTTCAAAATGATAATGTTTTTCAAAAACTATTTTCACCTGATTGTAATTAAAATTTATTATAAAATAACTAAACTTTAAAAATTATTTTTAATTCCAACTTTTTGTTGCATCACTGAACTGTTAGTTTTTCTCTAAAAAATAATGTAGTGTGAAAACTTTGTTGTTTTTGGATTTTATTAATTTTATTATGATTTCCTAATTGCTAAAAAATTAAATTTATGTATATATATATATATATATATATATATATATATATATATATATATATATATATATATATATATATATATATATATATATATATATATATATATATATATATATATATATATATATATATATATATATATATATGTATATATAAACAATTTTAAAGTGTATTCTACAAAATAGAGTGCTCAATGTTCTTAAAAAAACAACAATAATAAGTTAGTAGAAAATTACTTAACAAAAATTTTCCATTTAACACTGTGTTTTATCAATAAAGACTCATCAGAAATCTTTTCTATATATATATGGCATAAATGTAACATAATTGCTACAGTAGCTTGATGTTTACTATGTTATGTTTTATTGTTTATTGTTATTTAGGTGACAGTAAAATAGAATCTGATTTGCAATATCTGTTCTAAGAAACTTTTTGATTGCTCAAAACCTAATAAAATTGATTTCCTTTTTTTTCCTAACTTTTGACTTGTAACATATAGTTGTGACACATAACAAGATATAGTACATAGTATTTATAAGAAAGTGCATAGTATTTATAAGAAATGTCATTGGTTTTTAAAAAAAATCTGAAGTATGTAAAAAAATGTTGTATAAACAACTAAAAAATATATAAACAACTACTAAGTTATCTAAATATTATAATTTAGGAAAAATTAGCAAATGAAGGTAAAAACAAGTTAAATCATGTATTAAGTTGTGAGTCAAGTATGCATCTTCAATTAGAGGAAGGAAGTAAAACTCATTTTCATGCTGATGATAGACACCACCACCATCATCATAATGAAAAAAAAATTGATAAAACTACAGCTATTTCGTCTTTGGCTTTAATGGTTATAGTAGGTGATGGCTTTCATAATTTCAGTGATGGATTAGCCGTTGGTGCTGCATTTAGTGCATCTTTATCTAGTGGTCTTAGCACTGCAATAGCTGTGTTTTGCCATGAGCTGCCTCATGAATTAGGTGATTATTAAATAAATTTTTGATTGAATTTAAATAATTTATTTATTTAAAATGATTCTGAGCGGTTGGTCATGACATATGGTGCTTAATTATTTTTCATTATTTTTTTTTTCTATAGTATCTTTATTTATTGCTTATATTGTTTGTATGCATATAATATATACACTTGTAAACAAAATTCTGAGACATTTTCTAATAATATTTTAAAAACTACATTAAATTTTTTTTTTCCACCAGCGTTTTGAAGTTTATTTATAAAAAAGTTAATATTTTTTTTAACTACATTTAGGTTTTTATAAAAATTAAATCAAATCAAACTACAGAGCAAAAAACATTAGTTCGAATTTTGAACATTAAATTTAGTGTTTATAGAATCTCTAGCAACTGAACTGATAAAAAAAAAGTATAAATAGTTATTGCTAGTATAATTGCTGCATTTTTTTAAAAATTTTGATTTTACTGAATCTTAAATTTAACACTTTTTTAGTTTTTCTTGGTAAACATTTTTTAAATGTAAATTATTTTTAATTAATTAGTAAATTAGTTTTTGTACAACTTGATGATGATTCATTAATTTAAGCAGGACAGAAGAAAAATAATATGTTCAATGGCTCACTAAAGTATTTATCCCAGCATTTAATTTGATTCTAGGTAATTGGTTTGATCTACCTAAAAAGGTAGTTAAATCAATTATTATTTTCAATTATAAGTATTCAATTTGATGGTAATGTAAAGATGTTATCTTGTAAAATTTTCTCATATCATTTATTACTTTTTGTATACCATAACAAAAAAGTATATAGGAGCAATAACGGAGAGGGACAAAATATGCAAAATATGCAATGTGGTCAAAAGCATTTTTGTACTTAAAATGTTTTATCTTAAGAAAATTAAATAAAAAATGAATAAAAAAAAATTAGATGTTATTTTTATTAGCCCTTTAATGTATACTTTTCAGAAAACTACTAAGGACTAGATTCTATGGAGATTTTGTTTTCTGTTTATTTTTTTATCTTAATTTTTTGTTTTATTTTGTATTCTGACTTTATTATTAAGTTTAAAAAAAAAGTTAATTAGTGAATAAAATTTGTTGATGTCAGACTACATCTAAGATTGTTCAAGAAATACTTTATAATTGTAAAGAGTTTTTAGAGAAGGGGGTTATTAACTCTAAGTAGGGGGTTGTTGAATAGTTTTAAGAGAAAATACAGTGAAATTAAATAAATTAAGTTTTCAACCTCTAATCTACAATTTTTTCAACTCTGTATCTTTTTTTTATTTTTTGTTTGTTTTTCTAAAACTGTAATTTTTCAAAAAATGGGGTTAAACTTAACCTTACCATATGTACCAACTGTTTTTTGTCAAATCACTGTTTTAGCTGCATCTAAATTTATCCCAAAACATCATTTAGCAACTAAATCAAACTAAGGGTTATCTTATGTTGACTTTGTGAAGACAATAGTACTAAAATATTTATGACTCCTAAATTATGTAGACTGAGGGTCTCCTTTATCTGTACAAGTTAAATTTAAAAAGTTCATTTTTAAGTGTTGAAATTAATTGAAAAAAAAGTTTTAACTTAAGGTTTTAACCTTTTTACTTAAGGTTTTAATTTATTTTAGATGTTTAATTTATTCTAGATATTTAATTTATTCTAGATATTTAATTGGAAATGAATATTATTGTTTAATTTATCTATGCCTTTGATAACAAATCAGCAAATGAGGTTCTCTATCAGATCAGTACTTTGCAGATTTGATTGCTAGTGATCAAATGTTTTTGCAACATAATATATGCAACATAAGTATTTACAAGTTTTCTTATATTTAAAAAAAAAATAAATACTTTTTTTGATATTGCTCATTAAATTTTTTTAATGTTCATTAAAAGTTTAATGTTGAAAAATAACTGATTGAGTAAAAGTTTAAAAAAAAAAGTATTTTTAGATTGCTATAAAAATCCTATACATTTTGAAGTGCAAATATGAACAAACATGTTCATGACATTCATTAGAGAATCCTACCCTCCATCATCCATTACAGATTCCTCTCCTCCATCATTGATTGCAGATTCCTGTCTTCCATCAATATTAACATGTACAACATTAAAAAAATCAGATTTTATCGACATTTTTTGCTGGAATTCATTTGTTTATTAGAATTTATTTATTAGCATAGGTCGATACAATAAGCTATTTCAAAAAAGGTTTTAACACACCTGCATTGACATTTTTTTAATACTGTTAAACTAATCCATGAAAAGTGATCTATTTTTAAAATCAGAATAGGCATATTTAGGATCTTTCAACATTGTTTGTCATCTCCTACATTATTTTTAACACCTCACAATCTGGAACTCAGATCAACCAACACAAGATACATTTTTATTTACACAGAAATCTAGAAATGCATAAGCAGAAAAATATCCAAATTTGTTAAAGCCTAACAAGCCTTTATCGCATACTTGTGCTAAAGTATTTTTGTTGTGTTTTCAAAAAGGTTTAGATATGGTGCCAGCTAGAAAAAAACTTCTAATCAAATCCTTTTTGGTGTTGCCTTTGAGAAATTGCTTATTTTACATACAATAAGATCAAGGTGAAGCTATTGTTGGTCTTTTCCTACTAGAAAAACCTCCAATAGCAGCAAATTTATTTTCTGCGTTGTGGTTCATTCATTATAAATCATGTCTGAGCACTGTCGGGAGCACTTGTCAACAACAACTTTTCATAACAGATAATAACAGATAGTTTTAATGATTAATTTTAGTTAACATATTGAACAAATATGTGTATTTAATGTTTGTTCATTATATATTATTGATAATGTGAATGTAAACAATGTTTTATTAAAGTAATGTAAACTACTACATTTTATAATTCGCAATTGTAAATTTATATTTGTTTTGGAGAGTTAAATATGGACAATAAACAATAATATTTTTTTAGTGTTGTGTAGTTGTAACAATGATGATCACTATTTTTAAGTCTCCATAGAACTAATGGACAAATAATATAACATAAAAGTCATCGTTATATTTTTGAACGAAATAAAATTTTAAAAATGAAATACTGCAATAGCCTCATTTTATTTGCAACAAAGCAATTGTCGGTTTAACAAAAAATAAAAAGGAAGTATTTTTATTGAATGCTTTTTTTTTTACTTGTCAACAGCAACATAGCCATAATAACAGATAGTTAAGGCATTTTCGCAAGATTTAATTGTTTTTAAACAATAAAAGTTAAAATTTTAATTATGTTAAAAATACTTTTTTTTTTGTGCCCAGACTACCAATAAGTGTACAAAAATCTAAAAAATGGCAAACTTAACAGATGAACAGTGCTTTGATTATTTCATATTAGATCTAGAATCTAATATGAAAATAGATATATATTTTTTAAAACATGTTTTTATCAATAATTTCAGTTCTTTTGTTGTTGAAATTGAGAATAGAAATGTTTCAACCAAATTTATTTCCACCAGTGTATGATAAAATGTAAATCTGAACATAAATTCAAATGCTTCATAAAAGCAGCGTTCAAGGTAGTGTCTCTTAAACACAGCAAATAAATCCATAAACTTAGATTAAGCAAAGATGTTTTACAAATAAATTTCAGTTCATAAATTTTATTTAAAAAAGCATTCTTATTGTTATAAATGATCTTTGCTGCAATGTATTCTACAAATAAGTTCATGAATTTTATTTAAAAAATATTCTTATTGTTATAAACAATCTTTGCTGCTTTCCATATGTCAGAGATGAGCTTTCAAAGTACATATCAGGCCCTTAGGAACAAAAATAAAAATTTTTTTTGTCCCCTTGCAGCAAATTTCTTTATTTAACTCAAACTTTTTGTATAGGAAATGTATATCAAAATGGTTTTATTAAGATTTTTTTAAAAAAGTTATTTTTTTTACCAAATAATAAAGAAGTCATTGTGTTGCTAAACTTATGTTAACTTTTGAGTGTACTGCGTAAATATGAATAAATATAGGCCCGTGACAACCCCCAGTTGCTATGGGCCTGCATTTTCTTAGAAGATAATACAAAGCTATCATTTGAGTTAATAAAAAGAAGTTACAAAAATTATTTATAGTTGAGGTTTTTTTTATCCAAAATTTTATAAAGTGTCAGACCTGAAAAGATTTTTCTCACAGATCCTTACCTCTTCTAGGATATAACCTTGCTAATCATATTTAGAAAACAGAAAAAGAAAAAAATTTAGTTCAATATTTTCGTGGATACGTATTAAGTACTTTTTATCAAAGAATACGTTATTAAAAAAGTTGGCATAGTTGATTAAACTGAAACTCTTAATTTTGTTGGCTAGAAAAATTGTAGAATTAATCAATTAATTTTTTTGAAGAATGTAATTGTAATACTAATAAAAAAAAAAAAAAAATTTAAAAAATCTAGATCTTTGGTCTGTATTATCTGATGCTTTTTTTACTACAAGCAGAATTAGGACTTGAATAAGGAATATCAACCAAAGTAGTTCATGTAAAAATAAGCTGCCAATTGATGGCAGAATTGCTTCAAGATGTTGAGTTTTTTACTTTTACTCTATCTTACTTTTCAAAAAATTTTAAATTTAATTTGACCAAGATGTTTAAAGAACTGTCTATCAATTATTAGACCATATTTTACCACTTTATTTTTGTGTTCGCTCACTATCCCATTCAAAGGAGCTTGTAAACTTGCATATTGAAAACAACAAATTTGTTTAAAAAAGAAATCAAGAAAAGGTCTTTAAACCAAATAAATATTAGACATTTAATTATTATTTTGATAGCTATAAATAGTTGTATATATAAATTATAGGTTATTTTAATAGCTAAAAATTTTTTGCTTTGCATAAACAGTTAAATCTTGTGATATTCCTAATTAAACTATTATGGTATTTTTGTTTTTAAGATTTTTATCTTTTATTAAAATTTTTATCTTTTATTTTATACCAAATAATGTTTTTATAAGATTTGTGGCTATTAAGATTTTTAGACTGTAGATTATTATTATCAAGATTATTAATTTTTATTATTAGTTTGAAAGGTTTCTTATTGCATCATTGTCATTATACCTAATATCATTTAAAAATGGGTTACCCTTTCTTCTTCCTATGGCTCATTGTTGGCCAGAGTTATCATCTAATGAGTTTTGTCATAGTTATTCATTTAAAACATACTTGAACCAATTTTCGAAAGGTATTTAGCTATATTAATAACTAAACTGACAGTGACATTGATCCCTTTAAATGTCTGTAAAATAAATATATACAAGCCTTTATTAAGTGACATTGATCCTTTTATATGTTTGCAAAATAAATATATATGACCCTCTATTGAATTTTTGGGTTTTTGAAAATTTTTAAAAATGAAATAAGGCAAGACACAATTGCATTAAACATTGATCTTTTTAAATGTAAATATTTAAATATTAACTTTTATCTGCTTCAGAAGAAAAAATTGATTTCTCTGAGTTAAGCTTTAGTAATATGAGAAACTACTATATCCTGCATAAAGAAGGATTTGCCATTAAAAAGCAAAGTTAGCAAACCTGTTGATCCAAACAAAAAAGTTTTATTTGGATTTTGCAAATTAATGATATCTTTTTTTTATTGAACTCTTAGATTTTTATCAACTACTATATGATATAATATATATGATGTCATATATATGATATAATAGTTTTACATATAAATATGTAAAATAACATATTAATATCATATACAAATTATCATATTTTATGTTTAGTCACAATATATTTTTAGTTATAAATTATAAAACTCTCTTCCTGATTCTTTGTTATAAACATCACCAGAAGAAGATATTTCAAATAGAAAATCATTTATAGTTCTTCGAGAAGTTCCAGGTTGTTGGTTTATCTTTGATTTTTGCATTTGCAAAAATCAAGGATAAATCAACAATCTTATTATAAATATTCTTCTTAATGCGCCTTTGTTTACAAAAAGTGAGCACTCATTGGTAGGCTAGGTTCTAAAAAAAAACTAACAATACGTTAAACAATAGTTCTCTTAAACTGGCCAGACTATGTATTTTATGACTATGGTTTAATTTAATCTAAAAAACTAGCTCAGTGTTAGCCAGTCTAATTCTGTCTAAGTTAGCCAGACTAATTTTGTCTGATTGGATTTATTAAAACTTTTATCTATTTTTTATCAGTTTTATCTATTTTTAAATATAAAGCAAATAAAATTTACTGGTAATTTCATGTCTATGTCCTCTGCAAAAAAAATTTTTATAGTGAAAATATTCAATAGAAAGTGCGCTCAGTACATTTTAATAAAGAACTTGCAGACATAAAACTGATCATAAATGGAAGATGTTTTAATCTTCTCAGTTAATGTTTAAAACCAATTATGCTTTAAGTTTATTTTCAAAAAAAACAAACAACAGTATTTAAATATTTTTTTTTATTTCAAGAAATTTTGCAATTCTTATCAATCAAATCATATTTCTGAATCATATATTTTTAAATAATTTATTTCTGAATAAGGTCTTGCAAACAAGGATGTTAACAAATAGTTTGAAACTAATATGAAGTAAAAACCTGCTGAAAGTGATATCAAATAATAATGATAATACAAATAATAATATTGTTATTTAAAAATAATAACAACAATAATAACAAGAAAAATAAAAACGTTAATGATACGAAGAATAATAATGATGATAATGAAAAATTATCAACATCGATAATAACAAAAATTAATTATAAATAAAATAATTTAAAAATAGATTTCAAAATAGAAACTGAATATTAAATAAATAGACTGATTTATGTTACAAACAGTTAAAAACTGAGATAAAAATCAGTTTTTGTAAAGAAACTGACAATCAATATTTAATATCTATAACCATAATGAAAACTAATATGTTAATGATATATCAGTAGTTACAAAATAATCAAATGAATGTCACCTAAAACAAATAATAAATAATAATAACAAAATACAAACAAAAGACCGCAAAAAAATTCTAGACAAAAAATAAAATTATAAAAAATGAGATAAAGTTAAGAATAAATAAAATAAAGTTACAAATTACAACAAATAATAATTACTAAAATAAAAATAAATATAAAAAGTAAACAGATAAAAACAGCAACAAATTAGCAATGTAGAAAGTAAAAAAAAAAAAGTTTAAAAATAAATAGTAATTGTAAATACAAATTTTAATTTTTTTTTAAGTATCCTTATTTCTTGACTTTAATATGTTTTTGTTTTTGTTTGTTCTTTTTATTTTTCTTATTTAGTTGTTTTTTCTCAAGTTTTAAATGTTTTTTCTTAGATTAAAAGTTTTTTCTCTTCACTTCTATGGGTTATATGAAATAATACATAAGCTGTTGTCATACTATTTAAATTTGATAGTACTTGGTAAAGTTTCTTAAAATGATACGTTTTTAGACACTCAAGATGACATGAGCATTTTTTTAAACTTTTTCTCCACGGAACTTTATTTTGGTATTTCAAGAGGAAAGATTTATTATTATTTTTTAGGAAAGATTTATTATTCTTTTTTTTATGGTTGAGATTACTTTTACTTTAGTATAGTCCTTAAAGAGATAATTTAATTTTTTTTTTTTTTTATAATTTTTTTATTGTTTTGAGTTTTTTTAAGTTCCATTAAAAAAAGTTCATTTTAGGAAACTGGTTTTAAAAGATGAGATAATTGGGTGTGTTGAAAATAATGTAATTTTTGGTAAAAAGATTTTTTTAAAATGAATTATTCATTTATATTCTGTAAGAGGAAAGGATAATTTATGATAATCTGCAAAAATAAATATTAATATTATAATATTTCAGCTGCAAAAAACAATACACTGTTAACATGCTCATCTTATGCAACCTTTCCCTATAAGTCATAAAGATGCTTCAAAAGCGTCTGTGGTTTCACTTTTCTATTCAAAACTTTAATCCCTTTCTAATCGAAAGTAAATCTAGGAATCATAAATTATTTTTTTACAAGTATTCTCATTTCCTCTCAACACTTTTACCTAAATTGTATTTATATTTAAAATATATTTACTTCATTTAAAAAAAGAAAAATTATATAGTATTTGTTTACAAATTTAATCCGCCATTTGTAAAAATGGAAAAAGCGACTTCACTTTTCGGATCGAAGTTAGACATCTAGTTTATATAATATATCATTGGGCTGTGCTTGTTAAAATGTAAACAAACCACGTTATTTAAAAATGGCGGTAGTTAAAGCAAAATCAAATAACAACAAAAAATTTTTTTTTCTAATATTCATGTATATTAATAATAACAATCAAAAAAATAGAAATAAAAAAAATAAAAATAAATTTAAATCAGTTTAGTAAAGATTAAAATATTAAAAGAACAATATCTGATAATATCAGCTGGGGCGAAATGTGTCGCTTATTAATGTTTTTCATATAGCTCTGGTTTTGTAGATGAAATTAGAGTTCTAATAAGTACTAGTTTTTTCCTCTGAAAATGAAAAGAAAAAATAAAACACAAAAAAGCAACAACAAAACAACAACATCTAACAAAAAAGCATGAAACCATAGAAAATAGTTTTTTGATGTAATTTAAAAACAACGAGATGTATATTTTTCTATCATTACGTTAAAAAAAAATATATAATGAAAATAATATTAGTAATAATATTATTAATACAAAAATAAATGATCATATAGTTAATGAAATGACTGTTAAGAATGATGTCACTTAAACAAATAATATCTTCAAAATAAATTAATATCTTCAAAATAAATTAATATCTTCAAAATAAATATTTTAAATTTAATTTAAATATTTTAAATTAAATAAAAATGAAACATAATATAGATAACATCAAGATATTAAAATCTTTTTAAGTGTCAAAAGTGTTTGTAGACCTTTCGAATAAAAAAATATATTTTTTTTTATTGCAGGAGATTTTGCAATTCTTATTAACTCTGGAATGACGATAAAGCGAGCTATTATATATAATTTGGTATCAGCATTACTTTCGTATCTTGGATTAGTGGTTGGTATATTTGTAGGAGAATATGAAATTGGTAGACATTTTATACTATCTGTTACTGCAGGACTCTTTCTTTATGTTGCATTAGCAGACATGGTAATATATTCCCTTTAATTCTTAACAAATAATTATAACAAAAGTATTACTTTAATAATTATCGCACTTTTTATAAGTGACCTAAATTAATGCACAAAGATTACGTAACCGATTTCTTGAAATTACGTTCCTAAAAGTAATAATAATATTGTTTTAATATTTATTGCACTTTTTTTAAGTTACCTGAATTAATGCATCAAGAAGTTCCTGACCAATCTCTCAAAATTACGTTCATATGTCAACACCTCGGCATATTAAGTGGAATTGGGATGATGTTGTTTATATCGTTATTTGAACACTCTTTTTGAATTTAAAACATTTCTATCGTTGCGTAAACAGTCGATTTAATCGTTTAAATGGTTATATTGGTTGAGGACGTAGTGTGAAATCTTTTCTCATAGTTTTCAAAGTTTTAAATGCAACATAAATATGCAGATATATTATAGATTTAAAAATAATTATAAATTAAATAAATTATACAAACATATATATATATATACACGCACATACATAGATTTTAATATATGTTAAGCGATAGTATAGGTATTTAAATACATACTATATAAATTAATTGTATGTAGTTATGTAATTATGCGCTTTATGTGTGTATTTGTATATGCATATATATATATATATATATATATATATATATATATATATATATATATATAATATATATATATATATATATATATATATATATATATATATATATATATATATATATATATATATATATATATATATATATATATGTATATATATGTATATATATATATATATATATATATATATATATATATATATATATATATATATATATATATATATATATATATATATATATATATATATATATATATATATATATATATATATATATATATAGATGTATATATATATATACACGTATATTTAACAATATTCTGCTTTTAAGGGCCTTTCATAGTCAGATTTGAAATACATCGTCTTTCATGAATTTTTTATTTGAGGCTATTTTTAAAGCTTCTTTTTTGTTTAATTTTTCAAAATGTAATTATTTTTGTAGTCTTTACTTATTTAAAATATTGTTAAATGTTTTAAACAACTTGTAAATAGATATTATAGAGTTATATAAAAGACGTTGTTTTGTACGAATTTATATATAAAGGTATCTTAGTATCTCTGAATATTTTTCAATTTATCGCGATGTTCTTGGTCGAGTAAAGTTTCATGTATATAATATATATATATATATATATATATATATATATATATATATATATATATATATATATATATATATATATATATATATATATATATATATATATATATATATATATATATATATATATATATATATATATATATATATATATATATATATATATATATATATATATATATATATATATATATATATATATATATATATATATATATATATATATATATATATATATATATATATATATATATATATATATATATATATATATATATATATATATATATATATATATATATATATATATATATATATATATATATATATATATATATATATATATATATATATATATATATATATATATATATATATATGGGCTCATACTTTGTCTGCTTAAAGTGACTAATTAAAAACGACTGGAGTCTTGAGTTATTGAAAGTTTTAAAAACACCACACATAGGCAGAACGATCAGAGTCCAATGTTTACAGCGACAAAACGATCAAACTAATTATCAACTGGCTTTTTTTCTATCACATAACATGTGCGAGCCAATCCCGCGCTATTTGTGTTAGATGTCTGCTTTAAAGATGACAGAAAGCAGCACTGATCGCCCGATCATTAGTGACAAACCAAAGAAAAGAAAAAAGAATTTTACTCATAAAGAACAGCTAAAATTTCAACGCATATCAAGTCATGAGAGAGGCAAAAATTGCAAGTGCAAGATGAAATGTTTTGAAAAATTACTCATGAAGAAAAAGACGGTCTACTCAATTTAATTTGATTAGTAGCAAAGATGCGCACCTTGCTTTTTTTGTTCAGGTAAAGAATCTTTTTTCTACCCATCTCGAACAACAATAAGTAATACAAGACTTTTGGTTGTTGTTCCATTGCATAATAAATCGACTTCAGCATTTTTAAGTCTTAGTTTTTTTCTAGAATGCTGTATAAGCTAACTCATTTTATTCGAGCCATGCAAAAATGTTGAAGGTTTTGGCTTTCTCTTTCTCGCTCTCTCTTTTTAAAATGCTATTCGTGCTTAGAATAAAAAAAAATTTGGCCAGTATTTTTGTTTAAAAGAAATTTCTTGAGTAATTTAACATTAAACTTTGTTATAAATGTCAAATTATCTTAGACGTGTGTGGAGCATTCTTAGCTGTTTTGTTGATTCATTTATGTGTATTAAGTCAATGTAAAAATAATTGGCTCAATTATAATAAACTTACTAGTGTATAGAATTTCTGCATGGGATAGAAAGCTCTTTTGTTTCTTTTCGGGGAGTTTATTATATAATACAGCAGCAGTAGCATATCTTCCATATTCTAGATTGCGAATATTCTAGGATCCTGTAAAATAGTAAATTATAGGTTCATTTATCAACACAGGCACGCTCCATCTCAGGCAGATTTATTTTATTAGCGACATCTTGTTATAGCTTATGTGTACTGTAGACTTTCTACATTACTGTAAGTTAAATTTAGTATAACTGTTATCCTTTTTGGTTAAATGGTAAACTTTCTTTTATCGTATTCGACTTTGTTCATTTACTTAATACACTTTTATCTATGTTGTGGCCATGTTTACTAGCCATTTTAAAACTAATTAAAATTAATATTGCAGTTATAACAGGTTAAACATAATTTGTCATACAAAAAAAATTAATTGTAGAGCTAAAGAAATGCCTTAGTTATCTGGCATCAGTTTTGTAAACATCCTACAAAATAATAACTACACCGAGTAAAAAAATACTGTATATTTAATGCTCTTGATTTTTGAAAATAAGTGAAATGATATTTATTTAAAGGTGAAAGCAGTGGAGAGGCGACGACCTCGGAAAGATGAAGAAAATGCCAAATTCACGGACTCCTCCTACGAAAAACTTGCCCGGATAGATAGTTCTACAGAAGCAGTCGTTTTCAATTTTCAGAAAAATTTATGCTCTCCCAACAAAACTATCAACGATGTTTATTACAAACGTCAACTGACCTGTGTCTCGGTTAATGTCCACGTGCTGTCTACAGATGATGTATATTTCTACCTTTACGATAAGACTGTTGCCAAAAAGGGTGCTGATGATGTATGCTCCATGCTTTATCACTTCATAGAGACATACTTCCGGCAAGTAGTGACAAGCTTGTTTTGGGATAGGTGTGCAGGGCAAAACAAGAATTTTACTCTCTTTAGATTTATGCATTAGTAAACACAAAAAAGCGATTTGAGCGCATCTCAATCCGGTTTCCGATCCGTGGTCACTCGTATCTTGAATGTGACCGTGACATAACGCTTTTCAAACAGTCAACAGATCTGGATCTTCCCAGCCAGTGGGTTCAAGTGTTCAGGAATGCACGTGTCAAGCCATCTCCCTTTACAGCGATTCCCTGCGACCAGAATATGTTCAAAGCATTCAAAGATTTCCTAAAACCAAGCTACAAAACATCTTGTCCCTTTATAACAAGAATTTTACGAGAAGTCTACATCGAAGCCTCTCATCCGCAATACATCAGTTTTAGAGATTCCTGGAACGTCACTATTAAAACTGCGGTTGTGACATTGAGACCTAAAGGTAAACAAACAATCAACCATTTGAAAACAAGGTCACTTGAGTGTTTATATACTGCCCCAATACCAATCAGTTGGGAGAAATTCAAGGACTTGCAGTGTCTGAAAAAACTATTCTGTAAACCAGGAGTTCTACAACAATTTTCCAGTTGTTGGACCCTGTGAATTGTGAAGATGGTTCTTCAACAGACACGTCATATTATGCTGATGATTAAATCAATCAGTCTTTAATTATGGAGTTATTGCAACATAAATATTAGTTTTTATTATTTTCCTCTTCCCTTCTTTCATTTTTTGGTTTAATACCTGCAATAAAGATGACACTCATGTAATAATACTATTATTGTTAAGCATTATTTTAGTGTGTTTCGATTGTGTTATGTCTTTTGTATGTGTTATGTGATTCTGTTGTCTTTGGTATATGTTATGTGTTGTCTTTGGTATGTGTTATGTGTTTGGTAATCAATTAAAAAAAACCTGTTATGAGAATAAGTCTCTCGGAAAGCTGTGGAATATTTTGGCATGTATTGGTGTGATGGAAAGAAAAAACGATCAAAGTCCAAACAGAAATTCCCTTTTTACAGTATCAATATCAAACTTATAAACTGATATTTTCACATAAAACTTTGAATTGCTATATTGAGAAACAAATGTTTTATAAAATAAAATGATTTTTGGGGTAATTTTAACTCGTTGAACTACATGATGGTGTTTTAAATCTTAAAAATTGATTTTCTCAAAAGTGTGACTCTGATCGTTCCTCCGTTCATTTTTAATTGTAAAATTTTTTTTATCGTCTATAAACAACTTCTTACAACTTGAAAGCATAGACTTTATATTTATTACATATTTTAATTGAAGTTGAATCTCGAATCGATAACAATCTGGATTTTTTCAATGACACCTTTAATTAGGATTAATTACCATAATGATGGTAACAATTGTTATTTTATTTGACTTTTTCCCATGATGTTTGGGACATCAGACAATAATACTTAGTTTAAGGTCAATAATCGCTAAAAAAAAAAGTTTTATTTTGAAAAATAACTTTTAACTATAACACTTTTAAATTTTTCTAATTCATTTTTGAAATTTACTTATTTTGGATAGTTTGTAGGTTAGCATAAAAAAGCTACGCTAGTAGCCTAGCAACAACACCATTATCTTTGTTAAATCAAATAATATGGTTGCTTTTTTGAATCAAAAAAATTTTTTACTTTAAGGTAAGGTAACTAACATTACTAAGTTTACTACGGCAACTTTGTTTGCAAGGTGTTTCTTTTTCTTCTAAATAAATGTATTTCATCACAAAAACCTTATATATCAAGCCGATTTTAAATCTTTTATGGTTTTTTTCGTGTTTTTTTTTCAAGATTACATTTTAACATTAGTTAGCTTAACTAAAAACATGATAACTTTAGGTTGGTTCCGCCATCTTAATTCGAATTTTCAGGATTTATTTAATGTACCCATATAATTAGCAGAAAAGTTGCGTTTATTCTTTTTATATGGGTAAAAAAATCAAAAAAACTGAATAAATACGTTTTTTCAATTTTATTGATTTTTTGTTGTTTTATAAAATATGTTGGCTATATTAAATGTTATAATATTAAAATGTTATAATAAGTTATAA